AGTTCTTAACATTACTGTAGTCTGTGTGATAGCAAACAAAGCATTGGACAGGAATCACAGAATATTAGAAATGGAAAGTGGTCCTCAGAGAGGCCGGACCTTCAGAGGTGAAGTGATTTGCCTAAGGTTATCTACCTAGTTGGGGCAGTGCTGGGATTAGAATTCCTTTGTGTTCCTAGTCCTTGTATTATATGGGGTTACTATACATCACACCTTGCTTAGCATAGTCCTATTTTATGCTTGCTGTCCCTGACAGTTATATAAAATGTCACACTGCTGCTATCTCTTATTTTCCTCAAAGTGGTGTGCTTTAACTTGGTAGTTTACAGCTAATCATATTTAATTAAAAATGAAGTGCCAATTATTAGGTAAGAATAAAAGTCATTTTAGATTTTTAAATGGCCTATTCTGTTTATGGGTATAGGCTACATTACAGAATAAAGCATATTTCAGTGGTGTGATGTGTATGGTTTTCTTTTCTAGCAGCAGCCTCCATCTACTACAACATTTGTGCTGAATCAAATAAATCAGCTTCCAACTTTGGGATCTACGATTGTAATGACTAAAACACCACCTGTAACAACGAATAGGCAAACCATCACTTTAACAAAGTTTATCCAGACTACTGCAAACACACGCCCTTCAGTCTCAGCGCCAGCAGTACGAAATGCCATGACCCCTGCACCTTCAAAAGACCAGGTGCAACTGAAGGACCTGCTGAAAAATAATAGTCTGAATGAACTCATGAAACTGAAGCCACCGGCTAATATAGCTCAACCAGTTGCAACAGCTGCTAGTAAGTCTGTTTTCAGTAGTGTCAACTGTCTGCTTTTGGTAAGATATGTCAGTGTGTTTTTAAGGGTTTGCTTGGGGTCTTAAAAGAACTGGGCATGAAAGAAGTAATATCTGCATGACTGTACACTTACAGTATTTGTACAGTTCAAGAGAAGCAAAAATTTAGAAGCCTTAGCATTTAGCTTTGAAATGAAGTGTGGAAATATCAAGTGGCTACATCAACACTGTAAGATACAGTTTTATATATTGTGACTAACTGGTTAACATTTTTCTCATTCCTTTAAATCATTGCTTCTCAAACTTTATGTGCCTATGAATCACCTGGGGATCTTGTTCAAAAACAGAATCATATTCAGTAGGTCTAGGGTGGGGCCCAAGATTCTGCATTTCTAACAAGCTTATTCGAGGTGCTGTAGATGGTGGACCATACTTGAGATAACAGGCTTTAAACTGATACTTTGCTGTTTTAACTCTGACTTTTACAGTTTTATGATTTTGCCTGTCACTGGCTTCTTTCTTTGTGGGTAGTCATGTTCTTAGTAAATTCTCTTTTAAAATACATACACATTCATTATAAAATAATTCACCATATTTCTTTGAAGAGTGAGCACCCATAAGACTTTTTTTATAACAGCTTTATTGAGAGATAATTCATGAACCATAAAACTTACCCTTTGAAAAGTAAATGGATTCAGTGGATTTTAGTATGTTCAGAGTTGTGCAACCATCAACACTAGCTAATCCATATACTTTAAGCATAAGTTTAGATTTAAAGGGAAAAAGCTCAACAATCATTTGATTACAGCTTTTTCGGAATTCGTTTTTGCATAAAGAATGTAGATTTTGTTCTTAGTTTTTCTTCTCTGGAGTGGCTTTTTTTGTTGCTCATTCATTCAGCAAATATTTATTGAGTGCCTACTGTGTGCCAAGCACTTTTCTGGGATTTTGAGGCTATGACTGGGAAGAAAACTGTTGAAATCTCTGCCCTCATGGAGCTTGCCTTCTAGTGGAGAGAAACCGACAATAAGCAAAATAAGTAAATTATGTGGTATGTCAGGTAGGGATAAGTGCTATGGAGAAAAGTGGAAAATGGAATATGGGGCAGGAAGAGGTTACAATTTTAAATGGAGTGCTCGGAGGAAGCTTCGTATTTAGTATGTTAAGGTAATTTTTAAGAGTATAATACAATTAATCTGTCTTTTTAACTTTGGTTATTTTAAATTTTAGTACTATAGTTTTAGAAACTGAAAAATGTGAACTCTTAAGAGGGACATACTTTCCTTCTCTTCTCCATTGAGCTAAGTAATGTTTGAGTCCCTGTTATATCACAGTACCATGGTGGGCACTGTTGGAGATGGTGACTTTGACCTCACTTATATCCTTTTTTGTTTTGTTTTGTTTTGTGAGGAAGATCAGCCCTGAGCTGACATCCGTGCTAATCCTCCTCTTTTTGCTGAGGCAGACCAGCTCTGAGCTAACATCTATTGCCAATCCTCCTCCTCTTTTTTTTCCCCCAAAGCCCCAGTGGATAGTTGTATGTCATAGTTGCATATCCTTCTAGTTGCTGTATGTGGGATGCGGCCTCAGCATGGCCGGAGAAGCGGTACGTCAGTGCGCGCCCAGGATCCGAACCTGGACTGCCAGTAGCGGAGTGCATGTGCTTAACCGCTAAGGCATGGGGCCAGCCGCTCAGTTATATCCTGAGCTGACCACAATTTTATAGTTTTACCGTAGGAAAGGGTGCCTTTTTTTTTTTTTTTGTGAGGAAGATCAGCCCTGAGCTAACATCCATGCCAATCCTCCTCTTTTTGCTGAGGAAGACCGGCCCTGTGCTAACATCTATTGCCAATCCTCCTCCTTTTTTCCCTTTTTTCCTCCCCAAAGCCCCAGTAGATAGTTGTATGTGGTAGTTGCACATCCTGCGAGTTGCTGTATGTGGGACGCTGCCTCAGCCGGACAAGTGGTGCGTTGGTGCGCGCCCGGGATCCAAACCCGGGCCACCAGTAGTGGAGCGTGCGCACTTAACCGCTAAGCCACGGGGCCGGCCCCAAAAGGGTGCCTTTTTTAAAAAAAATAAATTTATTGGGACTGTTGTATTTTTGAATCATGGAGGTTCCTGATGAGTTATACTAGTACATACGTAGCATCCCATCAGGCTCTTGGAATGAGGTGATGGATATTGAATAGAGAGTTCCTCCTTCCAAACAGCTGCTTTATTTTTCTAATTGTGGGAGATAAGTTTTAGTACCTGATATAGATAATTTTGTGGCAGAATTGACTGCTTGGAGGTTGTAACGTGCCTGTGTTTAAAGTAGAGGGCTGGAGGCATTCTAAAGCAAGGAGCAAGAAGTATTTGTAGGATGATGTAGGACTAACTTTGTCTCCAGTGACAGATGTAATTGAAAATATCAGATAATCTAATCTTTATGTTTAGGTTCATATCATTGTGCTATAGTTTTATTCTCAAGGTCATTGTCTTGAGCTAACTGCAGCCTGGCAGCTAGATGCCCATTGAGAAATCATTTTAACTGTCTTAGAACTGATTTCCATTTTCTGCCATGGAGGGCAGGACCGTGGTGGCCCTGACCTAGCTGAGGTGTGGGGCAGCATCTGAAATGGCTCCTGGGAGACTTGGAGGTGATCAGCAGTTAGTGAAAGCTGCTTTTCATTTAAGTCTTTGGATTTAATGAGAAGAAAGACTGCTGCTTTTATGTGAGTGGCTTTCTGAGGATTTCACTCCTCAAATCAGCATATGCCCTCATAATTTAAAGGAGAGGACTATGCTGTTGTGAGGAAAGAGTTTAGAGAGCAAAACAAAACAGGATGGATTTATAGCTGACCGAGTAATACTTAATACAGTAACATCTCAGACAACCAATGTAGTAATTTTTAAAAGACAAACTGTCAGACTAGACCAGGGCTGAAAAAGAAACATGGTAAGTGAATGCTGAAGATAAGCAAACGTTTGTGTTGTCAGAGAGAGTCATCTTTATACTGAAAGAGAAGAACATTAAAAGTGTGAAATTCCTAAGAGCAAGGTTTTGCATGTTCTTGTCTTATCTGTGTGGGCATTGCCTCTTTTGGATTCCTTAGCCCCTTGGGTTTCTCTTTAGGTTCTGATCTCTCTCTTGAGCTCCAGTCCTGTAACTGTCTATGAACTGTTCACTGGCTCTCCCACTGTTATATTAAACAAACATGCCCCAAAATAAATTTATCTCTGTTCCACCTTCCTTATTTTGTTAACACTTTAATCCTAGTCATTTTGGAGTCCCAAGTGACAGGCCTCCCAAATATTTCCCATCTTTTGGTAGAAGAGGTAAGATGCTAATCAGTCCTTCTGGTGTGATTTTCATACTGTGATCTCAAGAATCCCAGGTACCTGGTGTGCTTCAGGGCTGCTTGGAGGATAGAGGTTAGTTACAAGGGCTCTGAACTCCTCAATCAAGCAGTACTACTTTGACTGATACTTGGATTGAGGGGTTCTGTTGCTGTATCTAAGAAGAGTTTGTAAACCACTGGTGTAGAAGAAAAGGTTCATTGTTTGGATCTTTATTCTGGGGGAAGGAGAAAAATGGAGTTCCCAAATTGTTTTTTTTCCTTCCAGAAATAATTGTTTTTGCTTTGAAAGTTAGTAAGCACCACCAAATCAGGTGAGATTGATTCTACCTTTGCGGTAACACCAGGTTTTTTTTTTTTTTAATGAGCCAAATAAAGTGCCTCAAAGTAATGCTGGCTCTTGGTATTTGTATTGAAATAAACTATCAAATAGTTCCAGTTGAGGTGTCTTTTGGGTAAATAGTTTTCAAATTTCCTAAGTTGCTTGTTTTCTAAGGTTAATTCTTACCTCCATAACGACACATAGCTTTTAATGTTTTCATTGTCATGCTTAACTTAAGTTAGTGATAAGCAGATTGGTATTCTTTGATTTGTGAAGTGGGTAAACTTTACTGAATTTTTAAAAAATGTAGGAAAAGAAATTGTTCTAAAATGTAAATTGACTCTCTTCCTCAGCTGATGTAAGCAATGGTACAGTAAAGAAAGAGTCTTCTAATAAAGAAGTAGCAAGAATATGGATAAATGACATGAAAATGAGGAGTTTTTCCCCGACCATGGTGAGTTTCAAAATCTGTATCTGTATTTTTGTATGGTATGAAAGTACATTTGGCTAAAAGTGCTCTAAAATAACCCTCAGAAAACTTTTTTGGGGGTGAAGTGAGGCTACTCAGCTACATAAACTAATGAATAAGCACTAAACCTCACTGGAGGGGCCAGCCTGGTGGCATAGCGGTTAAGTTCACGTGCTCCACTCCAGCGGCCCGGGGTTCGCCAGTTCGGATCTTGGGGTCAGACCTACTCACCACTCATCAAGCCATGCTGAGGTGGCATCCCACGTAGAAGAACTAGAAGGACCTACAACTAGGATACACAACTATGTACTGGGGCTTTGGGGAGGAAAAAAAAAGAGGAAGATAGGCAACAGATGTTAGCTTAGGGCCACTCTTCCTCAAAAAAACCTCACTGGAATAAACTAATATATACTGAACAAGGTGATTATAACTTGAATATTTGATAGGATTTAGTATTACACACAGTACTGACATCTTTTAATTGTGAATCTCGTCTGATCTGAAAAAGAGACAACGTGGACCCAAAAGTATTTGATGACTCTGTTCATCTTAGGATTAAACCTGAGCTGTCAGATCATATAATGGTCTAGTTATGGGTAATTATGTGATAATTTTTTTCTTACATGTTGGAGATACTTTGGGTCATTTGATTCTGTACATTTATTTAATAACTATGCTGTGTATAACACTGCCTGTGTGTGTGTGGTGGATTTCTACAAGAAGCATACTGCCTAGCTCCCCCTTCAATAAATGTACAATTTGACGATCATATTGTTTCAGTAGTAATATAAGGTACAGCAAAAAGTACAATGTGATCCTCACAGTAAGGGTTATGAGTTGGAGGAAGATGAGATCTCTATGGGAAGACTTCATTTTATGGAGGAGGTATAATGGAGCTTTGGTGTTGAGTATGGAGAGACTTTGAGAGGGCATTTTAGGAAGGGAGCTAAAGCATTAATAGGCACAGGGAGGTGGTGGCTGTGTCTTAGGTGACACTAAGCCTGGGTACTTGCCCTGCTGGAAGAAGTTGGAATGGTTGATTTGGGCTCTGTGGAGGGTCCTGAGTTGAGCTTGAAGGACTTGAGACTTGGTGCAGCGTGACTTGAGGGCCACTGAAAGTGGAGGGACCTGTTAGTGATTCAGGATGGGTTGGGGTCGAGAGACAGATTGGGACGTTGGTTAAGGTGTCCAGAAGGGAAGTGATTAGGGACTAAACTTGGGGGATTGCGAAAGGGATTGGAAAAGGAAATACTAGGTGACTGCACATAAAAATACCAAAGGGTTGGTAGGACTTGGAGATGGAATATGTAATTAGGGAGACAGCAGAGCAACCTGTGCCTGAGGTTTTGAACAGAGACCTGGAGAACAAGTGCTGGCAGTATCCAGTTTACTTAATGGTTGTGCGCCAACAGCTTACTTAGGAGTTGATTTTTGGAAAGTAAGAATGCATTTTTCTTTAAGAAATGCTTTATGTAGTGCTCGGGTTCCCAGTCCAGCCCATGTTTGCTCATAATATGTCAAAAGTCCTGTATTGTCCTAGCAGTTAAGAAACATCTAACAGTTTGCATACTGGTCACCTGTGGACCAAAACCAGTTGACAGGTTTTGTTTGGCCTCTACGATATTTTGAAAAATTTTGAATTTGTTGCTAACACATAAAAATCCTGATTTCCAGGTTCTCTTGACAACTCTGGGCCCACGTTCCCCACCTAGTAAGATCACACCTAGAGTTGAGTAGTGACCATCTACTTTGTGTGTTAGGCAGGCATTCCTCAGGTACCGCACTCTCCCTACCCCCCTTTATCTCCTTGAGCCTAAGGTTGATGTCACTTGCTGTTTTACATTCAGCTGGCTTAGGAATATCACCTGTCTGGTCCCTGGATTTTGTGACCCTTTAGTATTACCGACTTATCCTCCAATTATACCCTTGGTGGTTTTTTGTTTTGTTTTGTCTTTGAATTTAAGTAGAAGATGATAAGGTAGAGGGAGAAAGAAGGAGGCTGGTCATTTAGCATAGTGTGCATTCCATTTTATAGGTGAGGAAAAGGTACAAAGGTGAGGATGGGGAGGGTTCACAATTTAAGTAGTTTGCCCAGGGCTGTATAAATAAATAACAGCAGAATTGGGATTTATATCTGTTTGTTTGGCTAACCCCATTTTGTCGCCACTTTCTGAAATTCGGTGTCATTTTGCCGTAATTTCTGAGAACATTTGGAGTTTTTTGGATTATTTTCTGAGGACTCCATGAGTTGATGTTGATTAGATGTTTGTCTCCTGCCTCCCTTTTCCTTCCCACATTTGTTGAGCATCTCTGTGCTATCATATTCTGCTCTAGACTAAAATACATAAAATAAAAATAAACAAACAGAAGAGCTTGCCCTTACTTTTCAATGCCGTGTTATCCTTGGCATTACTGGTACGTCCTGGCTGGGTTTTCTCCTCTTCTTCCTCCCTTCCTTGCTATACTGGGTTTCGCAGTTGCTTCTCTATGCTCTTCCTTGAACGAAAACACATCAATAAAGAGCTTTCCTAATGGTTTTACTGGTAGTGAAAAGAGGCTTGTTCAGGGTCTTCCTGTTCCTCTGTTCCTCCCTACCTCCACCTCTTTAAGATTCTGTGGAGAAACACAAGGAAACATATGACTGTGGTGACCGTTCACTCAGTTTGCTTGAGGCAGTCTGGGTTTACTCCTGTTTTCCTGATGTAGTTACTAATAGCTCCCCATTTTACTCTCAGATGTTCCAGCTTTTGGAGAGTAAATGATATGGTTATCCTATATATGAGTGATGTTGTTCTGTGGAGACACAGATGTCTGAAGTGAATTCTCTGTTCTTCAGAAGAGCCTTTAAACTCTAGAGTTTTTGGGTTTAGGATTTGGAGGAAAGAAGACAGATGGAGGTGAACTGAAAAGAGGGTGGGATGTGAGACTGAAGCAGTTTCTGCCCATGAGGTTGTAGGATGTGCTGCTGGGGCTCATCCACCTTTTCTCCCGAAACCCCTTGCTCTTTCTGTTCCTGGAGTCGGAATGAAGAGTGAGGACTGAGGTTAGAGAGATTCGTGGGCTCAGGGAGGGTGGTAGCAAGTATTGGAAGGGAAAGTAGTTAGAGATGATGGTGGCTGGAAGGAAAGTGAAGCCCTATGGTGACCTATTTGTGTGTCGTGGATTGTCTGTGCTCATCATTGGAGGAGCAGGGAAGCCACAAAGTGTGACCCAGATTTTAGGGAACATAGAAGTGTTATGTCATGTTTCCAAGACTGAAGATTGTGGGTCTTCCTACAGAAGAGTTTTCTCTTCTTTCGTGTTGGCTGGGGTCTCCAGTCTCTGGACTTAAAATTGATTATGTTCTCTCTGTGTTACAGAAGGTCCCTGTTGTGAAAGAGGAAGATGAACCAGAGGAAGAAGATGAAGAAGAAATGGGTCATGCAGAAACCTATGCAGAGTATATGCCAATAAAATGTATGTCTTTGGGATTTGTCAAAATAATGAAAGACTTCTGGGATCCTCTTAAAACTTAACTTTCCCACACACGTTATTATCTGTTAGGCTCTGTGTCAACGTTGGTACCTCATGATTTGACAAGTATGAGCTTTGTAGTATGTTTTAAACTATGTTTTAAAATATCTACGTGAAAACTTTACTGTAGGTTTTTTTTTCCTACACAGATTTAGAACTTTGTTTTAAGTTGAAGCCTTTTAAAACCAAGAGTAAAAAATTTTGAGTTTTATTTTGTTTCAAGTTAATTTTGCTCTTATCAGCAGTGATTATAAAATCATAGTAAATTGCAGAGATGTAAATATGTATCTTAGCTTTATATAGTTTATACAGCTTTTGTAGAACAAATTATAAAAACATGGGAATCTTTTCTTTTTTGTGTGTGAGGAAGATTGGGCCTGAGCTAACATCTGTTGCCAATCTTCCTGTTTTTTTTTTTTTCTTTTTGAGGAAGATCAGCCCTGAGCTAACATCCGTGCCAATCCTCCTCTTTTGCTGAGGAAGATTGGCCCTGGGCTAACATCTGTGCCTGTCTTCCTCCACTTTATATGGGACGCTGCCACAGCATGGCCTGACAAGTGATGCGCCTGGGATGTGAACCCGGGCCACCAGCAGCGGAGTGCGCGCATGTAATCGGTACGCCATGGGGCCAGCCCCATTTTTGTTTTGTTTTGTTTTGTTTTTGTGAGGAAGATCAGCCCTGAGCTAACATCCATGCCAATCCTCCTCTTTTTGCTGAGGAAGACTGGCCCTGAGCTAACATCCATGCCCATCTTCCTCCACTTTATGTGGGATGCCATCACAGCACGGGCCTGACAAGCGTTGCATCGGTGCACGCCCAGGATCCGAACCTGGGCCGCCAGCAGCAGAGGGCGCGCACTTAACCGCTACACCACGGGACCGGCGCCCCCTGTTTTTTTTTTTGCTTGAGGAAGATGGTCCCTGAGCCAGCGCTTGTGCCCATCTTCCTCTACTTTGTATATGGGAGGCCGCCACAGCATGGCTTGACAAGCCGTGTGTGGTGTATAGGTCCACACCTGGGATCCAAACCTGGGAACTCTGGGCCGCTGAAGCGGAGTGCATGAACTTAACCACTACACCACCAGGCCAGCCCCTAAAAACATGGGAATCTTAAAAATAAAATGTGATATTTGAATTCAGTGGTTTACATTAATACCATTTCTGCCTTTTTTTCCATAAGGACCATGATTCATTTTTTTAGTGTCCACTATATTAAGTTAAAAATTAACAGTTTTTAGCTTTTGTATAAAGTTTTTCACTTTTTCATTCATTATATGGGGGTAATAAGATGAAAAAAGAACCTGTGGCTAGAATTTGTCTTTTATATACTCTGGGTTTGTATCAAAAGCCACCACTGGGCCGGCCCCGTGGCTTAGCGGTTAAGTGTGCGCGCTCCGCTGCTGGCGGCCCAGGTTCGGATCCCGGGTGCACACCGACGCACTGCTTCTCCGGCCATGCTGAGGCCGCGTCCCACATACAGCAACTAGAAGGATGTGCAGCTATGATACAACTATCTACTGGGGCTTTGGGGGAAAAAAATAAATAAATAAAATTAAAAAAAAAAAAAAAGCCACCAGTAATACCACTTAAATCAAACTAAAAATCTCTACCAACTCTGTATGGACTCCCAAGATCTCCTACTTTTCTGGTTGTTTAAAATGAAATTTACGTTGTGGTATATGAAATTCTGTGGCTTCCTCCCTACCTCCCACAGTAGTTTTCACAAAAAAATTGAAAATTTATTCGTGGACCTTTATTTATTTTTTTTTTTAAAGATTTTATTTATTTATTTTTCCCCCAAAGCCCCAGCACATAGTTGTGTGTCATAGCTGCACATCCTTCTAGTTGCTGTATGTGGGATGCGGCCTCAGCATGGCCGGAGGAGCGGTGCCTCGGTGCGCACCCGGGATCCGAACCCGGGCCGCCGGCAGCGGAGAGCACGCACTCAACCGCTAAGCCACGGGGCCGGCCCATATTCGTGGACCTTTAAACCAGAGGTCAGCAAACTAAATCTGGACCACTACCTGTTTTAATAAATAAAGTTTTATTGGAACGTAGCCAAGCCTATTGGTTTATTGGCTATGGCTGCGTTTATGTTGCTATGATAGCAATGTTCAGGAATTATAAAAGAGACCAGATGCTGCACAAAGCTGAAAATATTTACTATCTGACCATTTATAGAAAGTTTACTGACCCCTATTTTAAACTGTTCACATTATACATTTTGGGGAATTAGTTGCTGTTTAATTTTATAGCCAAGATTTCCTTTGAAATACCTTTCAAGGTAAAATTATATTGCAAACTTTTGTTTCACCGATTGAAGTGAATGAGTCATTCAAGTAAACTCCTTAATCTAGGATTATGTTCTCTTACTACTGGAAAACCTAGTGGTATGGACTAAGTTGGTATTTTTCTAGATCTTTTTAATCAGCAAATCTCTATTTAAACCATAGGTAGTTGATAAGTAGGTCATTTTAGTAAAATTTAAACAGTACTTTACCATCTATTAGTAACTTTTTATGGAATCCCAGAGTGTATAGTTACTTATTATATTTTCTGTCATAGGAAAAGTACTGCA